GATATAAATATGGTATCTCAGAAAAATGTTAAATTATTTTGTTTTTTAATATTATAGTCCTCGTGCGCATGTGCTTCGAACTGTTCTACACTTATATAAACGTAATATATAAGTTGATTTGATAATATGCTGGTAATCTCGTTTAGGGCCAGCGTTTAGCCGGGTATGAAGCGTATATCGCAGAAGCTTCCTAAAGTACTAACGATTGAGATAACAACGTCGCTTAGCGCAACAAAACGTTTACGTATACAGCGAGAGTTTGCTCCTATTTTAGATTATGATACATAAGCTGCAATATTACAACACCACATTAAAAACACAAGGTACATTAAAATGTATCAAAAATATTATGTAATATACATTTATTTCACTGGCAATACTTGCAAAATAGCAATATATGAAACGAGCTTTTCATTCTAGTCTCTGTGTCAATATCAAATACTAGCAGAGTCAGCGACTTCGTACGCGTAGAATACTTATTTTGGGTATCAATTTTTGTTTATGCATACCTCCCTTTCATCTCTATAAATTTAATTCATTTTTGGAAGTTAATCTTAAAACATAAACGCGGACTTTTTCGATCGTTTAACGAGAAATCATTATTTTAAACATATTTTTGGGGTATCTTGAACCGTTTTCGCAGCGTACGCAATGGAAACCGAGGATAATTTTTCCCGTTTTTTCGACATTTCTCGCTGTATCTTCGCTCCTATTAGCCACAGCGATATATTTCATAGCCTTTCTCAATAAACGCTCTAACCAACACACAAAGAATTGTTTAATTCGAACCAGTAGATTAGCGCGTTCAAACAAACTCTAAACTAAACTAAGTATAGATATTATTTTAAATAACACTAAATCCTATAATATTACAGATAAAAATTAAAATCCCGTTTCTCTTATTTAAGACTAGCTGGTGCCCGCGACTTCGTCTACGCAGGTAGAGGATTAGGATTACGTAGTATCGCGCATTTTAACTAAATTATGCCATATCATAAATTATGTAATTATGTGTAACTAACGTTTATAGCACGCAGAAAGGTAGGTTTTTCCTAGTAACTTTACACTTAATGGCATATTTTGGACAGCTCACACAATATCTTATAAATTGTTATGCCTATGTGTTATTCTGATGTATAAGCTATATTATTGGAAAGTTTAATTAAAATCCATTCAGTAGTTTTTGCGTGAAAGAGTAACAAACATCCATCCACATACAAACTTTCACGTTTATAATATTAGTAGAAAGTAGGAAGTAGGATATTAGTAGGATAGTCTATGTCAGTTTCATTAGATATTAATTTGGGGTAAGTAGTGAATCGTACTTCTGTACTAGTCTCGACCAAAAATATTTCGACGATCGAAGATATAGTGTCGAAAGGCCGAAGGCAAAAAATATATGTACAGGTGAAGGCAATTTTTATATAGGTTTAAATTCATTTCAGAGGCAAAAATCCTAATATAATTTTAAGCCCAACCAAAATGAGTATGCTTTTAAACATCGTATTGCACCGCGGATGTTCATCAAAGCTAATAAAGGGCCGGAACAAGCGATCTCCTTACCATCTCATGTGCATAACGAACAAGTCGGCACTTTTAAGTTGTACCTATTGTTCTTGCTAATCGTCTGTGTGTATTTTTATTTATAATTTAAGGGAATAGTCAAAAGTAAATTCGATATATACATATATGTATGTAACTAACCTAACCAAAAGCAAATAATATAGAATCTTATTATCTTAAAAAATAGATATATAATGTCGCAGACATTTTTGTAGATCAATTAAACTCTTTCGTGCATATATATTTTTTGGATACCATTGTCGCAGCGTACGCAACGGAAAATCAGAGATGTTTCAGACGCTGTTTCTTCGCTCCTATTAGTCACAGCGCGATTTTTATAGCCTATAGCCTCCTTCAATAAATTTACTAACTAATACAAATATATTTTTTCAATCCTAACCTGAAATTAGCGCGTTCAAACAAACAAACTCTTCAGCTTTATATATTAGTAAGTATAGATTTGCACGCAATGCTAAAACACCTTCTAGCTAATTAAATTACAAGTTAATTTTATTTAATTTAAACTGATACCTGCATAGAAGACGGGTGCCAAGAAAAGGGTGAAATGCAATTTGGACAATTAAGTGCCAGGGAATCCTTATATGGCATTGCAATTAGAATTTTAGGTGGCTCCATAACCGCCCTGTTTGTATGTTAATTACTAAAGCCAACCAATGCTATTATTCCAAAGCGAATTGTTTTGATAATTCTGCAGTACTATTTGCATTTATCATACATAATTTCTTCAATTGTAATTCGCACTGACATATACTCTGCATATATAATGTTATGTACATTCTAGAAATATGAAGAAGATTTTGACCACAGCCAAAAAAGGTCGTCCATTATACATATTTATTAATTTCCTGTGGCTTTAATTTAAAATACTTTTAAATTACATCACGTGAAGGATTAACTTATCTGTTCCATCCATTTTACATACTTAAAAGAAAGAAACTATCGGTAAGAGCTTCATCGATTCCATTGTGTACCAAATTATGTATGTATGTCAACTGATCGCGACGAACGCGGTGCCGTTATCCGTGACCTTGCCGATTCTTGTGCCATACAGATACAGAAATAACATCGCGTCTATGTTTTCAAAAGGCTTTCATATAATTGCCATTTCTTAGGCGATATATCTCCCTGAGTTGTACCTACCTACATTGAAGACAAGTATCTGATCAACATCAGATATTTGTCCAGCCCAACCGAATCTATGTCCCGAGACTTCCAACTAATCGAATCCTGAACTACGCGCTTAACGCAATACGCTATATGTATCTAGACGTACCGCGCAGGTTCGGAGCTCGTCAGGTCGTCTGCCTCATAGGTTTTATTCAACTCTGCCTTAAAACTTACTTAAATATGTCGAATCAAATGTGAGATGTGTACTTTATTAGAGAGAATACAGGTACAATTGAATTAGAATGGGACAACATCATGCTTCGCACTCGCCACTAAAGACCAGAAAGTACGGTTTTCCTGTTTCCACTTCAATTGTTGTTTGTTCGGTACAACAATAGTTATGGTGTATTAACTGGGTGTGAGCGGAACCGATGAAAATTTCGAAATCGACCTGTGTTTATGTACCGTGCATAATTAGGTACAATACGTGCAGCTATATTAAAATACAAACTTATATGCGGGAAGAACGCTAACTTTTGCAATTTAAATATTTATTATATAGAACAATTATATGGACCACATTAATGCTTAAATCATTCTGAGGTTTACGCGAGATACACATTTAAATAAAACACTTTCCGACATTTCGGATGCTTTGCAGCAGCAGTCTCCCCGTGGCCCCGGCTGCTGCACTGCATCCGACACGGCGACGTAGTTAAAATATATTTATAAATATAAGTTTGGCTAATATATTTCGCGTAAAGTGTTTTATTATTTCGAATTATTTTGAATATCTTTTACTTGAATCTATATTACAAGTAAAAGATATTCAAAAGCAACATGACGAAATACTAACAATGGTTATTTAATTAAATTGATAACATATAGTTTCGAGCACAATCGCGATGTATTTGCTTAGTGAACATATAGATATATAATTTTTATTTAAAACAGGCGTATTTACATAAATACGTAAACACACAGACGACTTCTTGATTTTAAATTTTCGTCTTTGTCTAATAATTCCGTTTTCGTAAATTCCTATACACGTCATTGTGAGTTTATTTCATTCATAATATAAATATTGTTTGCAATCATCTAAATTACTGCCCATCATTGTATCTCCATGCTTTTGATGAATATCTCGAGGTAATTACCATCTATTGGATATATACTATAATATGTAGGTATTTTCACCTTACTTACAATTACTTACTGTTTATTTGTCCTGCCAGATATCTGCCCTAATGTCCTTATTATATAACGTCATCATTAGTATCTAATTTTAAAGAATATAGAAAATTAAATATCTAAGCTATGAGCTTTGCATACTAAATGTATATGTATATGCAAAATAAACTAAAGACGACGCCCGCGCCGGCATGGCGTCTCGCAGTCAACGACCACCACAGTGAAATTAATGTCACAAAGCAATTTGAAAGTTACTGCAAAAGTAATTATTTAGTAATTCATGGTGTAAAAGAGAATTTAACATACAGTTTTTTACTATCAAATGGAATTAGATTTTTAAGTAACTTAAAAAAGGTAGAGTTTTCTTAATTTGACCATATAGACAAGCTATCTGTATATTTTTATAATTTAGTTAATATATTAGTTTGAAATTTAAAATGAAATTTATTAACTTATATACAAGGATATATTGATAAATACCTATTTAAATATAAAACCTCATACTTTTGAGCTGTTTGCTGTAATTAAGAAGAAATTCCCAATAATGAATCTTCTCAATGAATAGCTTGAAAACACAGGACTGACTTTTTACAATATGGCCAGAATGGTCCTTTATATACCAAATTAGTAAATAATATATGTTTTGTGACTATTATTGCAATATAAATTTTGATTAAAGGTACTACATACTGATCAAGGATAATATAAAAATATATGAATATGAGTTTGAGGAAAATACAATGTCTCCCTGTGACCACGGCTGCTGCAAAGCATCCGAAACATCAGGCCGAAGTTAAAAATCATTTCCAAATAAGTTTAACTAATATATCGCGTTTTAAGCCGTTAAAGTGTTTTATTTAAATGTGTACTACTCGCTAGCTATAGACAGTATTTAAATACAATAATCTTCAGAACTCCCTTTTTGTCTTAAAAACACAACCATTGAAGTTTAATGTCGGTGAGGTTTATGATAATTATAATATTGAAGAGATCCATAAAAATGCTAAACAATATAAAGAAACCCTATGTAATTCTGACTAGTTTAATAAGCTAGTAAGATTTGTTGGGGTATATGTTAAAAAACATTTCACTAGACCAATTAGAGCAAGTACAGATTGCTATAATTCACTTACCTCTTTTACAGTTTCACGCTTGTGTCTAATTTCAGGATCAGTATTAGAGTCCATGACAGGTAAGACATATTTGTTGGAACCCATAACAGCCTTCTCTCCTGATGGTGACACACCCTTTGCACTGCCACCAACATTGGGTTCTTCAATAGCATCTACGGGCTGCTTACTTGGGCCTCTAGAAGAAGATATAGACGGCGCCACGTCAAACTGTGGTCTCTCTAGAACTTTCATGCCCATGTCTTCGTCGATTTTTGCTCTCAAGCGATTTCGATCCTCAACTACATGTGGATCGTCACCTTCCTCGCCGTGGCGGACGATACCCACTATTGGAAAGTCCCCCACTTCGTTTTGCGCCAAAGGAGGCGGCATAAGGAGCTCCGGCCCTGCTTTCTGAATACGTTTGTACACATTATAAACACTGTCATTTACGCTATTAGAACTTTTAAACTCTGGTAAGTAGAAGAGTGCCCCTAGCCACACGATTCCAAATGTCAAAAGTACTGAAATAATTAGATATTTTTCTCGAAGCCGAAATGAACGACGAGATATAGAAGGTACAGGAACCCCATTGACAAAACGCTGGTATGTTGGTAAAATTCCCGTCATGTTTACCAAAATATTACGATGTTCAATATTCCAAATAAACAATGTCAAGTTCCACTAGCGACCCGTCATCAACGGTCGCCATTAAAGAACTGACAAAAATTAAGACTTGCGATGTGTCAGACCTATCAAATGTCAACTGACAGTGACATTTTATAATTCTTTTGCCAGCATTTACTACACAACAGGTATATTATACAATATTAATAAAATATTATATCTCTTTTGTGTAATCTATGCACTGATTATAGATTATAATGTAATGAAGAACAGAATTTTATTTATAACTTACTAGCCGAGTCAGCGACTTCGTACGCGTAGAATAATTATTTTGGATATATATTTTTGTTTTTGTAAACCCCTGTTCAACTCTATAAATTTGAGTTTATCCACGACGTCGTCCGCGTCCCGTCGTTCTTGCAATTTAATCTTAAAAGACAGACATATACTGTCGCGGGTTTTAATAACATATAGCCTATAGCCTTTGCTAAAATTATAATTCCTGAAAAACAAAGAAACTAACTCTTCAGCATTATATATTAGTATAGAATTTGGGGTTTAAAATTTTTATTTATTTCTCTAATGATTACATACAATCTCTTACTGAGAAATTAGGGTCATTTCATTTTAAACTTAAGTAGCTACCCGCACCGTCTTGTCCGTTTACAATACAAGTTATATTTGTCTATATAAACTGACTAGATGGAGCTATTTTTAGATCGCGATAGCGCTTGCATTCCACAGCGAGCCTCACTATTTAGTTGTGACATTATCTTGCTTTAAATGAATAATATAAATAAGTTTAAAATATTATACATTTTTTTTATTGAGTGAATCCCTAAAACTTAGAATATGTTTTTTAAGTGTTTTTTTTTAAATCGTCATGGACTTTGATTCTTTTATATAGCCTGGTAATTCATTGTATAGCTTAACACCACCGTATAAAATACACTTTTTGCCATAGAATTTGCAAATACAAAAATGCTGTTGCAAATTTTTTTTAAATATTTTTCAACGAAATTAAATTTTATATGGACTTACAAATTAAAGTAATGTATTAGTATATATAGTTCGTAGTTTCGAATCAAATTACATTTAATAATGCCACAGCTTTTCAAGAAAATAAAAAATTCTTAAGTTATTACTGATATCGGCCATAATCACATAAAAGTTCTGAGCGAAGGAACGGAATTGCTAAAAAACACGACGCTACCTTCCTTCTGGAGCTATCCTAAATGAAACAAATTTCTTATGTAACACGAGGACATAATAAAACAATAAAAATTAAGCAAATTACTTTATTTATCAATACCTATTTAATTGGTAGATATATATTTAATAAACATAAGTAATAAAATATTTCTGTGTACATAACTTTCTTTACACTTACAAAATCGGTGTTATTGTAAGTACTTGCCTTATTAATAAAGTTTGAACTAAAAAGGATTATATTCTCAAATGAGATCAGTCGTAGCTTATCATTACGCATTTATATTTACAACTACATTTAAAATTACTTCAAATAATCGGTGGCGTTGGCATAAATTCAAAGTTCATAGTCAACTTGTTATTGCTATGACCTAGGCTTAAACCTTGACATATAAAAGTCGCAGTCGGGACAATAAGTAGCTGGTGGAATCACAGTTTTCTTGCGACACAAGTTGCATGGATTTTTTTGAGCACCTATTGTACTGTGAGGTTGATTTTCTTGATGGTTACCGTTCATCTGAGATGGTATAGGTGAATCAGTTCCACCTTTGGTACCGGGTTCGAACGATACCGATTTCTTCTGCATTTGTTTTGGTGGCGGTAAATGTTGGTACGGATTATAATTACTTTGATAATTCATATGATATTGGTTTACATCATTACAATTGTCCGGGTATGTAAGACGTTGTCCTCCATAGTTTCTCGAGTCTGTACGAGTTTGATTTGAGTTGCCATCGTGGTAAAAGTTATTTCCCATTTTCTGGTAATTACCGTTACTGTAGCTCTCAACAGGGGTGTCGCCATGTGGAGGAGGAACTCTTTGATACAGGGATTGGGTGTTATATTGGTTAGATGTATTCCCTTGAGGATATCGACTAGAATAATCAGAATTAGCGTAACTGGTCGGTGGGTTGTGATAACTCTGATATGCTGGTGAATTGCTAGGTACACTTTGATATGATGTGTTACCATTTTGAGCATTCTGGTTGAGCTGACGATTTTGGCTATAATTAAAAGTTGGCGTCGTAGAGTGCTGGGGATGTCGATGGTAATACGTATTATTTGGAGTTTGGTTAGCTTGATGCAGTTGACTCGGTGGGTGAGGGTAAGTGTTCGGAACCGTCCTTGGCATATTCTGAGGGTGCTTCGTTATATACGAAGGATTGTGAACTGTGGGTGTCAGCCTGTTCGCTAAGTTGTGACTGAAATTCGGTGGGCTTGAAGTATTGTGATTTACTGCGGGTGGTTGTGTATACGGTATGGGGTTGCTAGGATTTTGTGAAGTAGCTGGTAAAGCCTGGTAAATTTGATTAGGACTTTGAACGGGTTGACCTTGTACAGGTGACGTGTTTTTCGGTGCATTAAATTGTTGCAGTCGCGTCTGTAAAACTTGAGAATTTGGATAATTTTGATTCTTAAAATACTCATTAGCCTCGTTTGGTGTGTATGAAGTTTGTGATAAAGACGATATAGTTGAGCGTGATGATTGACTATCAAAAGAATCTTGTCGATGAAGTGACGGCTTTTCGCTTTGAAGTGGAATAGTAGTTAGTTCTGGTTTATTCATAGCTGATTTTAAAACTCTCTCTAAAATAGGATTTGGAATATAACTATCGTCTTCTTGATCTTCAGCTGTAGCAACTAAAATTACTTGATCACAAAATGATACCGATTTTTTCTTAGGCTTCAGACGATCACCGTAGTTAGCGCTATTGTTTGTTTTAACGGAATTGAAATCGTCATCGCTTTGTTTAACATCACCAGGTGAAGATGGCTTACGGCGGGTATATTGTCCGTTTGTGGATTGGTTGGAACAATTAATAACATCTCTGTTAGACCCCATATTAAGGTATCCCACGTGAGATCTTTCGTTTTCAACTAGCAAGTTTTGAGTGTTATTTTCAAATCTCGATGCTATATTCCTGACACTTAGATTATTATCTGTCGATTGTTTCGACGAAATATTATCAGGTGAAGATAGTTGCCCTTCGAGAGACCCTGAACGTTTTAACTTTATGGCTGCTTGCTTAGCTTGAAGCTCTTTTAGCCATGTATCTCCGGGACTACCGATTGTATCTAATTGCTTTGTTTTGATAGCATTTGCATCATTTCTGAAAATTTGATTTCTTTTTTCTTGTAACTGAGCTAATAAGGAGTCTTTTGGTAAATCCAAATTTTCACTGTTTAATCTTTGAATATAATTGAGATCTGTACTTGAAGTTTGATTTAATTTATTCAATTCTTCTTGCAATGGAGTAAGATCTATAGGTGGAGGTGGTGGCGGAAATTCCTCACTAGGTTGCCTAGAGTGATTAACGGAATTCATTGGACTGGGGTAAGGGGGTAATTCAAACATGTGTGGTGATCGCCTCATACTTTGTGGAAACGCACAGTCGACTACATCAATTCCGTTATCAAAAGCTTTCGTAAGGCTTTGAATAGTCTGGTGAGATGGCAAAATGTCTAAGATTTTAGTCAAATCTCTCTTAACCGGGCTTTGTTCTTGATGTACCATTGCTTGTGTGACAACAGTTTGGAAATTTTGTGAAGTATTAGGAGAATCGTCCAAGGTGCAGTTGTAGGGGTTCATTTGATGTTCATCATACGAAGGTATGAATTGCAATGATTGAGGTTCCTCGCCATATTGTTCAGAGAATCCCCCATCTTCATCATTGTCATGGGTATAATTATTATAGCCGCTATGAGTGTTGGAGGGTAAAGGCTGTTGAGGACGGTTTTGTATCCCGTGCTCAATAACTTCCGATTCAAACTTAGGCCCACTAAGCTGTGAAGTTGTTCGCAGTGGCGGTGGAGGAGGTACTTTAGCAGCAGTTAACATTTTACCCGCACTACCATGGAAGCTTTTTCTCATGAGTTTACTTCTTTCGAGATTAGGATTAGTACCACTCGGTGCAGTATATTCTAGATGCCCCTCTGATAAATATCCACTAAGATTGTTCTTATCTTCGGGTTTTTTTCTTCCGACTTCACCATCGTCGACTGACCCAACACGCTTTTCTTTACAGGTTTCATTCTTATTTCCATCAGCGCCCTCCGTTAAATCCGGCATTGATCTATTTTTCCTTCTTATTAAGCCACCCATTAACTTTCTCCTTATTTTGTGTTGTTTTTTACTTGATTTCTTATCTTCAACTGGTTCTTCTTTTTTTATCTGGAGCTACTGGTTATCTCTTTTCTTGCACGTCCACGATCTTCACTTCGAGATCTTTTATCCCTGACTTTTTCTTCGTCACGTGATTTGTGTCGCGGTGGTCTTTCGCGTGGTGAATTATCAATATCTTCTTCTATACTTTTTGACTTCTTCGACGACCCCTTTTTCTTCGGTAGAGTAGCATAAATTTCAATCGTCGATGGGGCGCTGTCTAGACCACCTTTTGTATTCCTTACGGGTGCGACTTGTGGGATTTCAGTTTGCCTATTTAAACCTGCCATTCTTCTTTGCAAACTTCTAGCTCGCATTACGCACGTGTTATGTTTCATGCGGGCAAATGTCATGGTATGCGGGTTATTGTAGGGTGCGTCCATGGCAGCACACACTTTTGTAGCTGCTGCATCGCATAATACTAATGCTGTTTCATAATCAGCAGCGTCTTCAGCATGTCGCGATTTTTCTAGCAATCTATCTGCTTCCATGCACAAAGCTTCACAATCTCCCCGAGTAATAAGTTCGGGTATTTGTGCAAGGTGCAAATTGTGGCGTAAACCCTGTTGTAGAGGAAGACTGTCAGTGGACGAAAGAGAATAGGAGTCGTATCCGGCATCGCATGACCCACCGCTTGACAACTCTCCTTTGCGAGTGGGACTACTAGGAATGCTACCGGGTCCTCGACCGCGGGGATACATATAAGGACTTTCAACTGTCGAAGATGACGCTGATGAGGCGCTATTTCTATCTCCACTCCAGTTACCGGAGTCTCTCCTAGCACGAGGTCTTTCTTGTGTGTCTGAAGCAGAGCTGGCGCTAAGGCTACGTGCTAGCTGAGCACGTCTGTTTGCTTGAACTTCGAGCATGTTTTCTACAGCCTTTCTACTAACATAGTCACTTTCATTATCTGGACCCGGAGTCATCGCACGTCTAGCGAAACCCGTTGTTGGTTTTTCTGGTGCAGGTGTGACTGCTCTTCGAGGCTCCGGCGCAGGAAAGGGAACGACATCTTTTGGAGCGTGTCGAGTGTCACATGGAGTTCCGTCAACCGCGGCGTAAAGCAGGAGAAGTGGCTGAAATCTTCCTCTTTTGCATTTCTCAACGACATGAGACCACTCGGAGCCAATCTCTTTGACGTCTGCATCGTCAAAGTATATCCACAATTTAAGTTTACTATGGAAGAAGAAGGTGGAATAGTGTTTCCCGTAATAAGTGACCAGACCGACGAGACGATGTGTTGCACGAGCAGCCCAAGCACGATCAACGCATGCATGGAAGGCATCGGTTGGTCTCAATTCGGTTCCTAGCGCTGAGTACACTGCTGCAACATGTTCAGCAGTTGGCCTTTCGGAGTCCCATACCATGCCAATCGAAACTACTTCAGGACGATTCATAAGTGTTCTGCATATTTGTATCTTAGCTCCGCAAGCGTTCTGAAAATAACAAACTTATTTTTAATACCACATATTGTTATTTAAATAAATAATACATGCAGCTTGTTTAGCACTTGTTTACGTTGTAATTAGAGAAAACAATGATGATGTCGATCATGGTAAAATTAAGTTATATCAAATAGCTTTCTAAAATTATAAACAAAGTATACCAATAATTATTGTTTAAGATTATTTTTAATGTGTAGGATAATGAACGCTCCATTCTTTTTCTGCAGTTTACATCTGTTTTTTTCTGTGATAACAATGAATAAATAATCTTTACTTACTGGGCAGTCTCTGATGTCACCCATACCGCCAGCCTTCTTTAACAAAAGGCCAAAGCTATCACCATGTTCACCCAACGCCGCTTGGGCTGTTAACGCGGTTGCTGACACATAATGCACCATCTAAAAAGTATATAGACAAACATATTAATTTAAACTGCATTCTGCTAAAAGTCTTCGCCCGAAATTGTCTCGCGTAATACTTAGAAAGTAAGGAATGTCTACAAACTGCATAAAGAACAATGGTCAACATTGTGTAGGTACTGGACTGACTAAAATTTTTTCCGACCAGTAACAAAAAATTGGGGTTTGATTTACTTTAATGTAATAAGAAAATACATACATAAATAAATATTACATAGTTTTGTAGTTTTTATTTAGTTGTAGAGTTATTATTATATATATTATAATTCCTAGAATAAGAAAAAATACGCATTTTTTTTTGATATACCTACCTACTCGTATAACACATATTGATCGCTGTCAGGTACGATTTGGCCATTGTATTTTAATTTTAATACTGGCTGGCTGAAGCAACTTGATCGATTTTACTAGATTTTTAAGTCTAAAAATCAGTAAGAATTACCTGAGTGAACGGCAGCGGTTCTGATGTAGCTTGGCACGCACCACACACTGATTGTTCGACAAGCATCATCGCGAACTTTCTGTGTGGTACACAATGTGGTGCTCTGCAAGCATCATCGTCCCTTTTGTCGCCTGTGCCAGCTGCAACGTGGGCGTGTACTCTTAGGAGTAAATGCTCAAAGCATTCGCTAGCATCTGCCATGCAACCAAGCTGGAATCTTGCGCCGGCGCCGCCTAGCGCACGACGTAGGCTGTCTGCCGCTGGCGCTCTCTCTGCCGACCATTGTAGCTGCGCGAATAATTCCTGAAAGAGATAAAAATAGTTCAACATACTTTTCATTTACATATTTATAATTTATTTATTAAGTTTCTTTTATCAATGTAGGTCTATATTTTTTAAATAAGATTTGCTTTGACGACCAACAGCGTGTCGCGCAAAATTGAAAAAAAAACCAACCGAGTTGCGGTACAAAGCAAAGCCTAGGTAAGTATTTTTACTTGTTTGAATTGAGAAACTAAAATATTGAATACGAGCATATATTTATAATTTAAATGCACCAGTTGAATTGACGGACGCAGCTTGTCGTGCCTTCCGCCACTAAATATACATAATCTGTATGGAATAATCAATTAATTTATACTGTGGCTATCAAACTATAATACACCTTGACATCATAAATTAGGTAACACTTACTTATTTTTAAATATGGTAAATGGGGGAACAATTTCAAAATATATGAACATTTTTAATATATATACTTCGACGTATTTCGCGTTATAATTTTGATCGTGTTATTTGACGTCCTTGGACCTTTTGCCAATAGACTTTTGACTTCTAAATTGCGAAATATAATGGATAATCAATGTATTCGACTTTCAAATTGTGACATACGAGATAATATAGAAAGAAACATTTGAGAAACAAAAGAGAGTTATAAAGGAGTCGCCTCACTGTTTCTAACAACATTTATTCAAAGGTACTAAATTCATAAAGAATTCAACTCGAGTTCACATTGAATTTAACATCCCCGAGCGTGTATTACTTTAAAACAATACAATGCATTCAACGCACGAGTTTCAAACAGACCATCGATTTTTCAATCTGTACGGATACTATTGTCTTATTTTACTTTCCGAACAAACTGTCTTTTCCTTTAAGATATTCTTTTAGGGTCACAATCACAAACGACTTCTGAATAAAAGTTGTCGCTGTTTGAAGATTTATGCGAACGATTTATTATCTTCGACAATGATTTACATAAAAACAGTACGATTTACTTCTACTTAGTATTTAAAAAAATGAGGTAATTATTCTAGTTAATCGTGTTTCGGACTATTCATTAACACGGCGTCTAACGAATGTTTCAACGAATAACAATTATGTGATCATGATTAATTTATTATACTAATTAAGAATCTATAGACACAACTTGACATGCTAATTTTACTTGTTTGGAAGTTGCATTTAAAAACATGTTACTTAAAATTCAAATGTCAGATGCGCTACTAGATGAACCTGCAGTTAGTAGCAGGTGTAAACATAATATTGTACCTACACGATGGCGTTCATAATAATTTTCCACATATGCAGTTTACAGATATTAAGTACCAGTATCCACTGATGTACATTCTTAGAAAATTACTTTTTTATAACACAGGTCATATAAGTGTAATAAAAAAAAAAAAAAAAAAAAAAGGTCATATAAGTGTATGCATTTCTGATTCTAGGAGAGTTATCTCAACATGTTTCATTTGTTTAATTATTGATGTACGACCGAGAATCCGAAAGAGGTGCAGATCAGCACGGCTTGTCTTACCAAACTTTCACCTCGTAGTGCCTTATTTAATGGATCTTATTTCATATTAATAAAATTAACAATTGATTTTAGATCGAAAAAAACTTTACGACATGGGCAGAATATGAACCGGCATCCACAGCGTTCCGTGGTAACCAATTGCTCTAAGCAATTAAGCTACCGCGTCGTCATTACACGTCATCGTCGATTACAACCTATTGTACCAATATATTTCATATTATTAAAGAACTTACTCGAAATAAGGACAAAGTCGTCTGGCTCACGAGAGGATCGAATATCTCTCGTTTGTTTGAAGCCTGACGCGAGCGTGGCAACGTATTGTTCCTCACACCAGCTAGCGATCCGGTGAGGAGCAGATCCTTGGGCGGCAGCAGCTCTCGATCTTTGAGCACGTCGATCTTCTGTTTCTGTATCGCGCCTCCATCGTTCGCCTCTTTACGCTTATACCGAAACTTAATCATTTTACCAACTAGTCCGCATCGTTTGCACCACACTGATTGAAATACTGTCACGTTTTCTTATTCAATTTCTGAACACATCACTGTAAGACAATGCGCGCTAAGCATGTACATACTTAATCAATGTCCGCGAACGTATATGGCAATAAGTAAACTGCACACGTAGCGTTGGCTTTTCGTTGGAATTCTATTTAAATATCCGTTAGTACTAAACGTTTGGTTAGGGCTTTGTTTAAGGTAATAATATTTCGGCGCGTATGCACCTTCCTCGCTCTACAGGTAGAAAGCGACAGGTGGTTCTAAGTGGGAAGCTATCGAACAACTGTCGAGTTGCGTCACTCGAAATAGTGTTGTCACTGATACAAATCACTTGTAATTAGTTTAATGCGTTAATAACTCTAACTTGTGACACACACGCGTAAGGCTTTCAAGCGGACTGGCTTCAAAGTTTAAACTGAGGCGCGAGCGTAAGCCTTCCAGGTAGAGACGCTTTTTTACAATCTATTGTTAACTTATCTCACGTGGGTATACCGCTCCCCTTCTCGCATTATGTAGACTATACGTTTCTCTCTTTTTATGGGCCTACGGTGCTTTGTTTATATATTTCTATGGTGCACTAAAGTTGGGAACATCGAAGGCTTTGTTTGAGAACACGTGCGTTAAATCCGTTGCACGGTATTGGTAATTTTTGAAAACAAGACGTACAGTATTAGCACGTGGAATTGACTGATTTCATCTAGAAGTTCTTCTGTTTTACTTAGTTTCTAAACGCAGTAGAAAAAATATAGCCAATACAATACTTGTCACTCATTTGTTTTATGATATCTGTAGTAAAAATACTTATATGGGTAGGTTAGCAAACGATCTGTTATTGTATGTTATACACGTTAAAAGCATTGATTTGTTACATGACATAATATGTACATAATTATTATGACATAAAACATCCGTAAGAAGTTAACACACCTACCTACCTACATTTTATATGTTTGGTAAGATTCAATAGGCGTCATTTTTAAACAGACTAATGTCACTATAATAAAATCAAAGAGCTACGTAAAAGTAAAGGCCCTACGTAATCATATCTACTTCAAAAGTTTTAGATATAGGTACCAAGCACAAAGACAATCTCTCGGTGACTCATACCGCGAGATTGTTATCAAGAAACTTGTCAAATTTAATAGGGATAGACATATTAAAAGGAATAAATGATATTGTAGGGACACAAACGAGAGGGAAAATATTCAGGCTTATAAATGATTTGGGATGATGGTGAGTCAGTGTGTAAGTATGTCGAACAGAGAACAGCTTCCTTTACAACACTTCTTTTAAACACGTCATCGCGGTTATAAAATATTGGTTGTGAATCATGAAAATTATATCTCAACACTTTTTCAAAAGATATGTCTAGTTAATATCGCCTTGATCCCATACTTAAACGCGATGCATTGGGCACAAAAAAATGCCCCATGCCCCACGAGGGGAAACGGGATTTCACTACACTTTTTTAAACTGCATTTAAGTAAACGGACTGCTTTGAGAGAACTTTGATTTTTGGGACAACAATTTCGAACGCTTACATAAGACTCACGTAATTGTTAGCGAAGCTTTCGTAAAGAAAGCATTTTCTTATGTAAATATATATATACATTAGCGGAAGTGTGTGTTGTTTAAAATGTTTTTTTAAATTGCCCTCCCCCCCTCGTTACGCTTATCGTAATGGGAAATCGTTTAAAGCGTGATTCACTCTGATTACGTACGTATACCGTACCGTACCTAGAACCGTATTTGGTAAATCTTTAGTTTACCTCATCAGCTAAAATGGACTTCGTAAAAATCCACCTACATGAATGAGAACTTTTGTTCATATATAAAGCTATTTTGTTCTTCATTATCTGTGGTATTATATAGATATGTATATACTGGTACTCGTCAGTCAGTAAAAACGTTTTTCATTTGTCCAGTAAAAGTAAAGTAACAAACCTACTACTTTGTGTGCATTTCAATAATATATTTTGATTAATTTATAATTTTAATTATAATCTTATTTCAGAATTGTGATTTCATTATCCTCCATCCGTATTATTATTATAATCACGTCACGTTAAAATCTAATCAACTACTTCTCTTCATATAAAATTTATTACATTTAAAATAAATTGGAAACTAAAATATGTACTACTACTACTACTAGTACTACTTGAGTAAACCCTAGAAAATACTTGATTGACTAGAGTAACGGATACAGAAATAGCTGTCCTATTCTCATCATGGGGAATTAGGTACATTACTCTAAACTCTTCAATTAATGCCTAACGTTGTAACAAAATTACTCTATTTATTAAAAACTCTGTAAATGGAGTTTGTACTGAACTAAAAAATAAACGACCAATTAAAAATGACGGAAGAGCAATATTACTTTAGTATCTTAAACTCATAGGCAAACGGCTTCCGTACTAACGTAACTTAATAAATGTTGTATCGACAACGTATAAGAGGTTGTAAGGCAGAAAAGTAATACAATACTATAATATCAAACGTCACCCGTGAGAGAATTCTCACCGAGTGTGATCCAGTTGCTGTGAGAAATTGTACACAATCAGCGGCTTCTCAGATAATTAACACGATTCTATTTCACGTGTTTAGTGATCGATCAATTTACAGACAGAGTGTATAAGATACAAGATACATAGAAATACAAAGAAATGGGAGTCAATATTATCGTCCTTTATCTGTAGTTGGTGCCCGCATTTTCTGCTATTATTTATTTATTTACTACAACTAAAACGGCCTAACCTAACGGCACCATTTTAAACAATTGGACACGATTGTTCCATAATTGTCAAAGAATAAATCGACATCAGGGTTGTTGCCCAGGAGCGCACTCATGCGTGCGCTAAGCATCCGATAGAAAAATAAAGGGGATTTTTCCATCTTAGACCTAACAAAAAAATATATATTTAACAACTTAATAAATTACTTATGGAAATTGTAAAAAAGGGCCTAGCTTTTAGCAATTAGTAAAGACATAAAAATTTTTAATGAATAATTACATCTATACTAATCTATAAAGTTTTTGTTTTTTGTTTGAACGTAATTAGGAAGTACTGTAATGAAAAATTCTTGAAGTGATTTGAATGAATCGTTCAAATCGGTAACATGTCCTGATGAAATTTTCATTTATTTTCGATTCTTAAATTATACAGTGTAAGGGTTAATAGGGGTTGAAAAAGAGGATGAAATTTTGTATGGAAATTCGTGGTTTTTTGAAGATAGAACAATGAAACTTTCATCTTTGGCTTTTTGGGAATAGGACTGGGGTAGTGAGAGTGAGTATAGGAATGAGATAGGGATTTAGAGTAGGATTGTGATGTGAGTGTGTTGCGGCAAAGTAGCACTTACAACATAGATTGGTTGCCTTAAATGCGCCCTTACATAAATGAATAAACAGTCTGAATAATGAAAAGTTCTACCCCAAGTCATTTGCGTACGTTTTCCATGCGGACGAAGTCGCGGGCACAGCTAGTCATTAGATTAATATTGAGGATTTATTTAATTTATGTACGCTTAGTATCGTCTGTTAAATCAGTTGTACATATGTTATACCTTTTAAGATAATAATCTAGCGTACGTTGAGAAATTTTATATGTATCTTGATGAGACTGGTAGCATCATGTCATGTTGGAAACAAGGGAAGATTATGTCACTATAAAGCCGTGTCTTCGTTAATATTTTTAATAACATAAAAATTATGTACCTATCTATTCTATATAATTCTTTCCAATATAATATATGTATGTATATCATAACATAATGATATATAAACTTTTAAGTTGGGTATCAACACTTTTTCTACTAGTAAAATAAAAGTTTTTTACAAACTTAGACTTAGCTTGAATAAAAATAATATAAAATACATATGCAAAAAAAAACGTGATACCCTCCCAATATTTTTCCTTTATGTAGTAACGTTAGGAAGGTCAACGTAAGCTTTCCTTTTATTCAAACCTTCGTCATCACTTCTCAGAACGATTCCTAAGGCGGATCAAGTCTGCGCGCAGAGGCCGTTACCAAGACGGGTTTTCTTAAATACAGTTAACATATCGCTAACATCCGATTAAGTAATTTCGATCATTCAACCATTGATGTATATCCTTCATGGAAATAGAGTTTATTCGGACCCCACTAAGTTCAAAATCACTTAATCAAAACGAAAACAGAGGGCGTTATTATCATACGAGTTCTGTAAATTGGAAAATGAGATGCATTGTTAAATTCAAAGAAATCTTATATTTCAGAGAATTCTGTGTTGTGGTTGTGGATTGTGTAAACTACACAGAAGGTCTCGAGTTCAAATCCAGGGTAATATAATGCATAATTTATGTTGGGTAGGGCATATATTATGTACGTCGGATCAACTACACGCTTAAAAAAGAAAATGGACTCGGAATGTGTCTGCTTTATCCTCTACATATGTAAAGGAGTATGATCTGCAATATGATCTTACTGTATATATATATCTTTGTCTAGTATCCTATATATTATATTATGTAATTTTAACTCATAGGCATCGAAAACATCTAATATCTGAAAAAAGTAAGTTTTTTAACCAACACCGACCTATGCATGATTTGAAAATGATTTTTTTTTTAGAGAATAGTATTATAAAAACTTTATAAGTTACTTTATCAATATTATAGCCAGGTTAAAATGCAAATGTTCTTGACCCAAAAGCAATTAATTGTTAAGAATATGCCACGAGAAGTTATCACGTATGACCTCATGTTTTACCCGATTGGTTTCACGTCGTTCGCGTCGCGTACGCAACTTCTAATTCAATCAAACCGGATCGATGTGTTGTGTAAGTACCATTGTCTGAGAGTATTGACATTTTATCTTAGAACTTTAGAGGAAAAGAAGTAAATTGTAAACTTAATAGACTCGCAAGCCTCATTAAAAACTCATTACATCTTTTTTTGTACTTGCATTGATATAAACTCTAT